AATTATAATTTTATTTTCGAGAAAATTTAGTCCAAACATAAGGTTTATTTTGTTGATGTTTGACCATCAAAATCTTAAAAATGAACAAGTTATCTAAAAATGTGCCACACGACGGATTTAGTATAATCCTTTATCTTTAATTTTCTTCTTCGTTTGTGTAAAAATACCTAGCCAGTTTGACATAAAACGTTAAATGCCGAACGCTTATTTTGCTACTTTTTCGGACTAGTGAAATGGACTCTTAATAGGACGAATTTAAAATAAAATTGCCTTAATTCATTCTAGGTGATCAATAAATGTTTTAAGATTATATACCGGGCGTTTCAAAAAAACATGTGCTACCTTTCATGGGAAGATTCCTCACGCGAAAATAATATTTATTTTTCATACAAACATAGGTCCGATTCTGCTTTCTTTCTTAGCTACAAGGGGTTAAAATCTTTTTTTTTTATTTATTATCTTATTTTGATGGTAAAAGTTCCTATAAAAGTACGCGCACACTGCCTAGAGCCGCACGCGCCGCATCGACCGAAGAAAAATATTGTTTGCGTTACTTTCAATTAAGGTGCGCACACTAGCCAGAGCCGCACAAATCGCATCGACGAAAATGCGGCCAGCATTCTTGGGCCAGAATGATTTTCGGTAAATGCGGCTAGTGCTGCTGACGTCACACGCAATTCCTTCCACTCTACGTTGCGTAGGTAGCCGAAGAGGAGATTAGAAATTCATTATGCTAAGAGAGTTCGCAAATTTTTTATGGCTCATATTGAAATATTGAAAAATTTTTAGTTCATCCTCAATTAAATATGGAAATAATATGGATTTTTGCCAATATTGTGAACCTATAACTTTCGATTCTTTCTCGTGATTTCTTCTTCTTCAATTAGCAAGGAGCTCATAATTATTTCTTGTTCGTTGTCATTTATTGTCGAGAAATATTAAAAAACACGCTTATCACCGCAGACAGGACTCCGGAAGCGACTGATGAGAAATTCGATTGGCAAATACGGGTCTAGTAAAGGCAAAAAGAAATAAAATAGCGAATAATGCGGCGCGTTCGGTACGGCTCACAGTGTGCGCGACAAGAAAAAAAAGTGCGATTCGTGCGGCGAGTGCGGCTCTGATCAATGTACTCGTCAGTAGCGGCTCGTGACCATTAGAACTGATGAGACGATGCAAACTCGAACGAAAACAAAAAGACGGGGGGGGGGGTCTAAGCTGCAACAAGTTTAATTTTTTTTTCCTCAGATATAATAAACTTTTTTTTCTTTGTATGTGTTTATTTTCTTTTTGTTTTTTTTAAGCAGCTAAGCAACAATAAGCTAGAGATTTTTTTTCTCCTCAGATATAATAAGTTTGTAAGCATAACTTATTAAAAAAGTCATCATCGGAACTGTTTCTTTATTTCTTTCTTTAGAGTATAAATAATATAACTTAAACATATATTAGGTATTAGCTAACTAATCTAATGATCGTAATATAACAGCTCTAATTTGAGGTTTTCGTTCGGTTAGTAAGACGGAATTTGTCACATCAAGCTCTACGACGCGCGACGCGACGACATAAATAAGAAACAAACAAGTAAAAAATAGTTAAAAATTGTAATTGTATAAGAATTATTCCTTGTAGGTTAAGTTTATTCGTCAGTCTTTAAAAATAGCAAATTTATCAATTATGTCATCATAAAACTTCCCTTCGTTCTCACTAAGGGTAACCAACAGCGCCTTTTCAATTGAAAATAAAGACAAAGCAGAAAGTCTATCTTGTAACATTGTATTTCTTAAGTAAGATTTTATCCGTCTTAGACAAGAAAAATCCCGCTCGGCTTGAACACTTGTAATCGGGATCGTTAATTTGTCTTTTTATCATTTGTTATAACACTTATCTGGGGAGTAGGTCTGTTTCCCTATAAGACCTCTCGCTTTTCATCCTCCTGTCTTCTGGAAAACGGGGTTTCTAGAAGGGACATCACAATGTCATGTACATGATTCATTTTAAAGTCTGATTATTACAAAATAAATCACTAAACTCTGAATTACGGCTAGATCACACTACTTGCTACTCACAAAAGCATAAAACAAACCGACCGAACAGACGTGACGTTTAGTAATTCCCCGAAATATCTAAAGTTAATTATTTTGACCAGTATTACGTGGATGCCAAGAGTTCATATTATTCAAATTTATTCTATACTCTCTTCGATATATGATATTATTTCCATAATTATTGATGGGGTATTTCGTGAAGATCACTTAATAGATTAATTTTAATTACAAAGAGCATTATAATATCGCATTATCTAGCCATATCAAGCACGAACTATTTTTGAACTTAACAATCAAATTTGTAAAGAATGGATTTTTTTCATGAATCTGGCAACAGCGTTGCACTTAAGCGATTTGGCTGTCGCCTCTGCAGCAGCTAATTTCACGCTTTCCCTCCGCTTCCCCGACCCACCGATTTCAATGTGTGACGTTTTAGTTCACTGATAAAAAAAGGTCGGCAGAGGCGGCAAAAATTACGCCTCAGGAACGCGACTTGTAGTCCAGTTAAAACAGAAACGATATGGCGCGATCGGTTGGTTTAGACCGGTCGAAAAGTAAAAAGCTTGGTATATTTTAATAAAATTATTCAATATTAATATTGCTATAATATAAATATACGATTAGCTGGAAATAAATTTGTGTACTACTAAAGGCTAGAATTTCGAGGTGAGGCGGCGCCTCAGTTGCCTCACCTGACGGGCCGCCACTGGTACTCGTACCTTAAGGGCCACATATTTTAATGATAAAAAGTGTTGACAGTTTCACCAGAGACGTGCATATATGTATTATCTCTGGAATATTAACCCATTAACGCCCAAATTATTTTTTTTTTTCGAAATTGACTAATTTTTTAGAGATTTCTACTTCTTTTTATGTAAATAAACGTAAAAAAATATAATTATATATTTTTTAATATACATAATATATTATTTTGAAAGTAAGTTATCAAGTTTTTCAAAAAACTGCTGTCCTCGTTTGAGGACGCTGGGATAATATGATATAAATAAAAACAAGAAAAAAATTTGTATGTTTATTTTAATTTATATAAAAATAAGAGTTGTTATAAGATACTTTTTTGTGAAAGTCGTTAAAACAAGGAGGCATGCAAAACATTATATGACATTTTACCAAAATGTTCGTGGTTTTCCTTTGCCATCATTTGACATCTTTGTATTTCCCTTTTGCCAATGGAATGGTTTCTCCCGTCAAACTTTATGTCATCTGGTATAATTGTTTTTGATGTACTTGGAATCTCTTCCTTATGTGTTGAATACTCGAATTTATTTTTCTGTCTTCTAGCATATCGTATTGTTTCTGTAAGCACTAATTTGTAAACATAATTGTCAAAAAAGATTTGAAATTTTTTAAAGCTGCAGCATTTGGTAATGGTTCTCTTATAACTTCAAACATCTGATGGCGATCTTCAAAGTCCACAATTTCATAGCTTGGTTGGGTTATATCCCAATTGGGTGTCAAAAAAATACGTTCACCTCATTTTCTCGTAGAAAATGATGAGAGTGGCAAATTATCTTCTTCGTCAGATGTATATGTACCATCTGGAGCATTTTCTTCGGTGCGAAATATTTCAGTGCCTCATGTAATGTCTCCTATAGTAGCTGTTCCAATATCTTCATCGTTTATGTCATCGTCATCGCCCAATTCTTCGACTTCTGGGGGTAATGCTGCGATATCGGCATCAATCTGCTCTGAATATAAATACTCAACAGCATCTTCTAAAGTCTTGAAGGCCTTTCTAGACATAATTCTGAACAAAATCAGAATATCTATGAATAGAATATGTTTTTGGTCATAACAATGCTTAAAGTCTAGTTAGAACAATAACTGGAAATAATCCAATTTTATACATACTACCGCCCAGCGTACTCATTTGAGGACAGTAGAATTTGGTTACACCCTGTACATAAATCATGTCTCTAATGCTTTCTTACTTATTATATTCATCAAACCTAATAACTTAACTACAAGAAAAAATAAATTCTAATACATACCTTTGTTTTATAAAAAAAATCCAGCACAAGTTTCAACGTGAACCAAAGTGTCAAAAAAATGCAATAAAGTTGACGACATTTCAGTCCAAATACCTAACTACATGCCTTCGTAAAATGCCCTTAGAATCAGGGTATGACTGGCACTAACGTTCCCCGTGAAATTATTATTGTTTTTTTCGACGGTGTATAAGCTATCCCCACCTATATCAGCTGTCCTCAAATGAGGACGCTGGGCATTAATGGGTTAAGAGAGGAAAGGCATAGTTTTTAAGATACAGTATGTCAAAACTTTAAATTATAACCGTTAATTGAAAAAGAGTTATTGTATTGGGTTGATTTGATATTCCTTCAATCAACGATATGTCTTTTGTAATTACCTTAAATACAATTATTTTACTTTGAAATTTGTTGTAGATACCATTGAACAATCAGTATGATATAAACATAAAGTTTAATAAAATTGAATAATAAATTAGATTAAATAAACACTTTTTTTCTTTTTTTTATTTTTATGTAGTTTAAAAAGTAAAATATATTATTTATATTTAGTCAAGATAAATAAAATTGCGTTTATTTCATCAAGGAGATTGAAATCGACAAAATATCAAAAGACAATGGCGCATATGATTTTTATGAAAAAAATATTCTAGTAATGCCCATATGCACGTATCGGGTGAATCTATCGGCATTTTTTTGCATTAAGTTATATAATAATACTTAAGGTAACTTTCACAATCAAAAAAATAAATAAGAGATTCTAACCCCCTAGCTACAAAACAAAACAGAATCGGACCTATGTTGAAATAAATCGTATTTTTACGTGAGGAATCTCCCCACGAGAGTTGGTACATGTTTTTTTTAAACACTCTGTATCAGACACAAAAATTAAATAATTTTTAAACACAGGGGATTTAAAAGTAATGTAAGCGTTACTAAGTAAGTTTACCTTGCTGCTAGTGACATTGCCATGGGAAATGTACCCATAGAACTTCCACCAAGTAAAAAATCATGATGATTTTTATGCTTCTCTGCAAAAAATCCATAAAACACTCCAATTCCACAAGAAATCAGTAACATTGATCCCAATACAAGATAATCTTCCCATGTAAAAGCGTTACTGTTGTGTTCAGACTTACATTTTTCTAAAAAAGAAACAAAACCATTCAATAATTTATAAGCGGTGTAAAAATTTCCTACTTAATTCATACCTGCATTAGATTCATCTTCTGCAAATTCAACGACTTCTCCGTTTATAACAGGTACATTAATTACATAAATAAAAATATAAATTGCTGTGCAACCGAGTTTCAGTCTTGAATAAGGTAATTGCCATTTATTACTACCACTACTCATATTAAAAAAAGGTAGGTGTTACTGTACGTCTAAAATTACAAAAGAAACATATACAACAAAAAAATTATGAAGTTTGTTCAATATGCTACCTCTAATGGGTCAGATAGAATTAATATTAAAATTTCATTAAAAATGTCACGTCCGTTCTTTTAGCAAGATTGAACTAGTTTCATCTGCACCTGTGACCTGATTGGAAATTAATTTTGTATAGTATATAATATGAAATTAACATATTTTTATATTATTTTTAGTGGTATTTTCTTGCTATTTTTACAAAAGAAAAGAAATATATTTTTATTATTGTATATCACCGAAGCATTCCGATTTAATCGAAACGAAATTTAAACGAAATAAGTTTCCTATAGATACGTTTATCATTATTGATTAAAAATTTCAGAATAGTTCGTCTCATGAGAATAAAATAGAATCTAATATTTAAAATATACTAGTGACTGATTATACAAGGCGAGTCTTAAATGAGTGCAAGTATTTTATGGGTAGTATATTTGGACCCCAGAAACATTTTTGAATATTTGGAATTTTTTGAAAAAAATTTTAGATTTTTTTTAAAGTTTCAGTTAGCGGTGTATTAAAAAATGAACATTTTTTGCATTGAGAGTATTTCAAAACGTTTAACGGTTTCGCAGATATTCTCGGTTTTGTATTTCATATGGCCTTTTCCACAGTAAATTTTTATCAAAGCCACCCAATGATTTTTCTCTCGTATTTTACCATTGAAAGCGCCATATGAAATAATACTGCGTGTATCTCAAAAACTATAAAAAAATTTGAAATACTTTAAATACAAAAAATGTTAATTTTTTAATTCTCCATCAGATAAAAAAATAATATACAGGGTGTTCCATTTAAAAAAAACGTAAAATTATTTTTTATAGTTTTAGAATTTGGCGTAAAATATTGAACATCCTGTATGATTTACGATTACCATATTTATAGCAAAGTAAGAACAGACCATCTAAACCAAATATCTAATATAGTTTTGATTTCAGAACAGTTCTTCTATTTTTAATATTTTTTTTTCAGAAGGGTTGAGAAATATATATTTTTGATTTATTTTTTAATATCTCTGAAACTATTGAAATAGATTTACTCATATCTTTGGATTATGTAAAGTGATCTGAAAGGAAGCCAAAAATGCAATAATATACAGGGTGTTCCATTTAAAAAAAGTCATCCAGATCCACTCACACTTTTTTGGGTCACCCTATAGAAGTTAAAATATTTTCCAGAAATACATCCTGTTACATACTTTAGGTTTGCACTTAAACAAAATTCTCAAGTTTTTTATTCTAGGAGCTACAGATGCCCTAACCTAACCTAACGCACTGTTGCCGGACCCTGTAGGTATATCGCACATGAGAATTTTTGCATTTTATTAAAAATGACAAGGTTCTTATAGCCTCTTTTTATTACAGCAACAAAACAAAAAATATTCATTACAGTTGTAGGTTGGAACCTTTGGTGTTTGGTTTGGTTTGTTTTTTTCACAACTCGCAAAATAAAACATTAATTCACCGCAATACACCAAAACACTTTGCTTGTAACACTGGACTCTCGTTTCGGTAATCATAAATTCGAAGCTAAAATAAATAATCAGTTTTCATCATCTGCTGATGATGCTAAGCTGGTTAACGAAACGCGTAGTGTTAAAAGTAAATGGTTTAATGGAAATTAGCACACCTGTAGGGGTTAAGGCCTTTTTATGCTTGTGTATACTAAGTATGTTACATTTTAAAGTGTTTTGGTGTATAATGGCGAATTAGTGTATTATTTTGCCAAAAAATGTTCATTTAAAAATAATTAAATAAACTAATAAAGCCAATTATATAGATTATACAGCTGAAACTTTTGATTTTGTTTATATAGGTTTTGTTCTATAGTTGTTTTAGATTTAATTGATTGTTTGCTAATTTTGTTTTCAATAACTTTCCATTTTTCATTTTTACATAATTATTTATAAATTTCGAATAGTTTTTTTAAGTTAACGCAAAAAGGCATAAAATCTTCAAAATCCGATGGGCACATAACATTTACATTTAAGAAAAAGGGTTGCACCAGTGCTGTGCCGATTTTTTAAATACAAAAGGTGGCAACCCTGCCTGTATTTCACAATTTTTTACTTTAATTTTTCGACTTCCAAAATTCTTATAATCTTATACATAGCTTCAAATTTCAGAAACATTGTTTTTTTTTAAATATAGGGATATCTTTCTAACATGAATATACAGTATACTCTGTTTTTTTTTCACAGGTAAGATTTCGACAGACGATGACAGAGAAGAAGCAGATGACTTCCATACTCCATTTATTTCACTAAAAAAGTTTCTAATATTTTTTAAGTTAACTATGGATGGCTTTATAAGCAAATACGTCATGCGTCGTCACTTGTTGTTTTTAACCAGTTTTATTGGTTTATTTCAAAAACGACAGATCATGTTTCAATACTATTGGTTTGACGCAACGATAACGACAAACGGACACCGATGCGTATGAACCCGACTTAAGATTTTTGAGAGTTGTCAATCTCTTGCCAAATTATAGGTTATAATTTTGTGTCAAATTATGTCAAATAGAAATGATAAATACTTTGCATTTTGTATTTTGGACTGTGTTGTTACTTGTGTTTCGTGTTTTTAAAATTAAATGGGGGAAAAGTCGAGGGAAAATTAAGTGTTGACCCAGACCATAATTTACAGTTAATATTCGGTGCCCAGAGGCCGCCAGAAAAACACAGTTTGCCAGACATTATGGCCAGACAGTTGTATTAGCCACAAATAAAGTTGTATACAATCTCGTATACCAGTACCAAAAACTGGAGTATCTGTAAAATAACATCACACGATAGGTAAATAATACATTTTAGTATTAGCAGAAAAAATTAAGATTAAAGTTAATTAACGAAGATTAGCCTTTTTCAGTTTTATACAGTTTTTTTCACAATATTTTGAAGTAATCACTTGTCACTCAAAATTTAAATATATTAATTATGCGTTCCAATTGTACCAACTTATTTCTTTGTAAAATAAAATAAACTACTTTGAAATTCAAATGACAGACACATTTATCACTGTCAAGGATTTTGTCGTTGGACAGACTAAAGTCGGGTTAGTTAAAAAAACTATGTTATGTCCGCTACAATTCTTTGAAGCACCTTGTATACTCACTAATAATTTTAAAATGTGCACCTGAACCTTCCCTATAACTTTTCTATTTAACATTTTTGAATAATCCCCAAAAATAAAGCCAATTATACAGAGTATACAGCTGAAACTTTTGATTTTGTTTAGGTTTACAAAATTCTTTTAATCTTATACATAGCTTCAAATTTCAGGAACATTGTTTTTTTATATAGGAATATCTTTCTAACATGAATATACAGTATGATAAAAACTGCGTATATAAATGGCCTTCCCCATATAAATAGAAGTCGGGTTAGTTAAAAAACCTGTTATAATCCGCTACAATTCTTTAAAGCACCTTATATACTCACTAATAATTTTAAAATGCACCTGAATCTTCCCTATAACTTTTCTGTTAACATTTTTGAATAATCCCAAAATAAAGCCAATTATATAGAGTATACAGCTGAAACTTTTGATTTTGTTTAGGTTTACAAAATTCTTTTAATCTTATACATAGCCAAATTCCAGGAACATTGTTTTTTATATAGAATATCTTTCTAACATGAATGTGGTATATGATAAAAACTGCGTATTATATAAATGGCCTTCCCCATAAATAAGTCGGGTTAGTTAAAAAACTATGTTATGTCCACTATAATTCTTTGAAAGCACCTTGTATACTCACTAATAATTTTTAAAATGTGCACCTAAACCTTCCTATAACTTTTCTATTTAATATTTTTAGATAATCCCCAAAATAAAGCCAATTATATAGAATATACAGCTGAAACTTTTGATTTTGTTTAGGTTTACAACATTCTTTTAATCTTATATAGCTTCAAATTTCAGAACATTGTTTTTATATAGGAATATTTTTCTAACATATGAATATACAAGTATGATAAAAACTGCGTATATAAATGGCCTTCCCCCTACTAAATGAAGTCGGGTTAGTTAAAAATATGTTAATGTCGCTACAATTCTTTAAGTACCTTCTCACTAATAGTTTTAAAAAATGTGCACCTGAACCTTCCCTATAACTTTTCTATTTAACATTTTGAATAATCCCCAAAATAAAGCCAATTATATAGAGTATACAACTAGGCTTTGATTTGTTTAGGTTTACAAAATTCTTTAATCTTATACGCAACTGTTCGGAACATTGTTTTTTATATAGGAATATCTTTCTAACATGAATATACAGTATGATAAAAACTGCGTATATAAATGGCCTTATATAAATAGAAGTCGGGTTAGTTAAAAAACTATGTCGCTACAATTCTTTAAAGCTACCTTGTATACTCTAATAATTTTAAAATGTGCACTGAATCTTCCCTATAACTTTCTGTTAACATTTTGAATAATCCAAAATAATAATTATATGCAGAGTATACAGCTGAAACTTTTGATTTTGTTTAGGTTTGCAAATTCTTTAATCTTATACATAGCTTCAAATTTCGAACATTGTTTTTTATATAGGAATATCTTTCTAACATGAATATATACAGTATGATAGAAAACTGCGTATATAAATGGCCTTCCCCATATAAATAGAAGTCGGGTTAGTTAAAACGCTATGTTATGTCCGCTACAATTCTTTGAGCTTTTAATACTCACTAATAATTTTAAAATTAACTGCACCCTAAAACCTTCCTATAACTTTCTATTTAATATTTTTGAATAATCCCCAAATAAACCAGTGCCATAGAATATACAGCTGAAACTTTTGATTTTGTTTACAGCATTCTTTTAATCTTATATACAACTAAAATTTCAGGAACATTGTTTTTTATATAGAATCTTCTACAACATGAATATACAGTATGATAAAAACTGCGCATTATATAAATGGCCTTCCCATATAAATAGAAAATCAGATTGAATAA